GTTTGAAGTGATAACTACTGGCTGTACTCTGTCATACTGAGAAGAGCTGTACAAATATTTGTGAAAAAAGTTCCACAACTGTGAAGTGTTTCTTTTGGAAAAACAAATTTTATCAAGCTCTTATCAGTTCTAAGTGTGTTCAGTCCATTACAAACCTGTATGCATGTAACAATATTAAATAAAATGTAATGCCTCTCCTAGCACTACATTTTACATTTCTTTGGTCTCCTCTATACTTCAGGGAAAGGCATATCTAAAACTCCACAAGTAATCTTAATATATACTATTTGTGTAATTTTACACATTAAAGGTTGAATACTGAAAAATAAACTTTAAAATATAAATCAATACAAATATTAAATGGATTGAAAATTAGTATTTTTAATTTTATTTACTGGGAGGTTTTCAGTTGCCCTATTGCTCACCCCATGAGCCGCTATTTCTTGTAGGTACTTATGGAAACATAGTTCACGAGAACTATAACATTAAATTTCACCACAAAGACACCAATTACTCACTGTATAGAAAGAAAAGACTACCCCTGATTGATTAACCATTTCTAGAGTAGCTAAGAGTATCGATTTCTGGACTTTTTCTATGACATTTTATTTTATTATTATTATTAAATTATGCTATTAATACTTTATCATGAAACCCTAGTTTATAATTAAATACACCCCAAAAAAATTTTCTAGTGGAAGACGTCCTCAAAGCTTTTATGAATCCTGATTGGAAAAACACTGTCTTAACAGCATTCAAATTAATATGATGATATTTAGATTATTACTAAAAATAAAATGCTGGATTACACCAGACTCATACTAATCATAAATACACTTTGCATCAAAAAATCCTAAGCATCCAGATATATTGTTTGGTCACGAAATACAGATGAAGTGATTAAAACTGTTTAGTACTTTGTTGAGCAAACTTAGGTCCACAACCACAACCAATATATGAGGATATTTGTTTTGACAGTGACTCACACAAATACCAAATGCTTTCATGTCAAAATTGGCTGTCAGATATTCTGCAGCAGCTGCACATTTTCACACATACTGTAAGATGGCTGTAAACAACATCCTAAAATATTCCACACGTTTGTTTAGAGAAGGTTTTAAGTTCTGGCAGGCAAAAGGAGAAGAATGATGCTATGTAGACATCACCTAGAAATATCTGTCACATGTGAATGGGCATTATGTTGATGAAACGCAGCCCCAAAATTCAACAGTTTTATCAATATAACAAGTCACAGAATAGCATAGATGCTTCAATGGGTCTAAAAATGACTTCCCCAAACAGTAACTCCTGGTTCGATAGACGCTGCAGACAAGGGGTAAGCAGCCCTTCTTCAACACGTAAATTTTCCAATAATCTAAGTTTATGCACTGCTGTCAATGTTCTTCAGTTTGGCATTCTAACAGACACTAACAACAGCCCTCTTACAACTAAACATCATGACTCTAGGTCCAAGAGATACAGGTAAACTATCACACATGAAAATATCTGGAAACTTTCCTGTATAATTTTTATACTTTATCATGAAATATAAAACACAGCCAACCACTGCACACCACTAGGGTTACAATGTAAAGGAAAACAGATAATCCATAATAACTACAGAGATGACAGCTGAAAGAACAATTTGCAGGTTTCCACAGAACAAACTTCTCAGCTTTCCTTCAAAAGTAAAAAATGTTCAAACAGTTGCACAGTAACAAGGAAATGTGCAATAAAACTTTCAATGGTTTCGAGTGGCAGATAGCTTGGTGTACCCTAGAGCATTTCTCAACTCTACTAAAAAGCTATGATTATAGGTCAGCTCCCACAATCACTGAGTTAAACAATGCCCTGTTGGAGTTACTAATTACTTCTCTCAACTGCATTATCACTCAGCTCATGTCAGGTGATTTGTGAGTACAATTAGTTCACTTGTCTTAAGGCTAATGGGAACTAGGTCAATTAATTTAACATGCTGTACCAAGTACAACAAGTTTAATTAACTTAGAGTACTTGCTGTACCTTGCAGCAGTTGGTAGCATTCTTATTACTCATTCAAAACAACACTCAACATAAAATTCATATTGTCACACTCAGACAAGCAATCAATCGTTTAGGTGTTTCAGGATGTCTGCCTCCCATGCCCTTCCCATGCCCATTCTGAACAATTTAATTCTTAAAATATTGACTATTTGACTGCTTTTCTTATTCAGCAGATTTCTACATACAGCATACTTGCCAACCTTTGACACTAAAAAATCAGGAGATTTTTCTCAATGTTAAAAAGACTTTTTAAATGACAAAAATATAGTTTTAATAATGAATTAACTTTAAATAGTAAGTAATTCTTAAATGCAAGCAACACAAAAATACCTTACACATAAAAAACATTTTTATTACTTGCATCGTTTAAGAAAACGAAAAAAAAAAAAACTTTAATCAGTTTTTGTACAAATGCTATAAACAGTGGCAGATTTTTCTTTCTTTAAGAAAGAAACGTCATAATTTTGTTCATAGCAATTGCCATGTAGGCCTGCTTTTGCTAATAAAAGTTTTTCTAATGTGTCATCATTAATATTAGATCTAAATTTAGTCCTCATTTTTGCAACACTGAAAATCCTCTCATACTCCACATTACTATGGGGAACTGTCAAGATGGCCAACATAATTCTAGACAGTTCACTATACTTTAAAATTCCATCAGCACCTTTCAGTTTTCTAATTAAACTCCACTGGGTATCAACCTAACTGATTTTATAACTTCATTCGAGTTTTCTAATTATAAACTGCTGTTATGCTGCTTTTGGAACTGTTTCAATTTTTCCTTCCTTTTACAACTCCTTTCAAGATAATAATAAATATCAACAATGAGTTCATCCACATTTATTGGTAAAGAAGCTACCCCTTTTTCAGCTGCTAAATCTAAAGGTGACAGGTGCACCTCATAATCTGCAAATCTGAATTTTCCTTTCTTAAGATGCCTGCAACACCAGTCTTTTAAGCCTACCAACACTGGTGCATTATCAAGTTTTAATAATTAGCTGTGCTATATTAAAACTTGTCAAATGTCCTTCTAAAGTGGGGACAGAAAATAAACTGCACTCAATTTCTGAAGACTCTAGATTAAAAAAAGAAACAACAATTGGATACAGTTTTGAATCGGTATTATTGCTTCCATCCGTAGAGAGGCAGAACGGAGTTGTTTTAATGCAATCAACAACTGAAGATTTATTTTTCAAGCCCATTTCTTTAACAATTGCACCTGTTTTGGTTCTTACACTTGAGTATTTCTTAGCAATTTCACTATCGGGAAACATTTTTCTAAATAAAGCTGCAGCGTTATCCTATGCATTCAGTGGTACGTTGTGCTCAAGTAAAAAGGCAGAGAACAGACATTCTGCATTAATAACTTTTTGGTCTTCTGTTTTTCGAAGAAAAATTTAATTTTCCGTTTTTTTTTTTCAAAACAACTCATGTTGTCCTTGTGGTTTTGTATATGCACATGTTTGAGAACATCCGCCCTTCCACCATGCGAAATTGAAAAATCGTAAGGACAGGCGGTACACATCGCAAATTTATTACATTTCCTTGAGGAAATAATGGAAGGAAAGTCAATTGTGTACAATTTTTGAAACATACATGAGTATTTCACCTTTCTCGCAGACATAACAAAAGATGATAATTTCTAAAACTATTTCCTGAAGGCATATGTACCCACACAACTCAGAAAGTCGGGAGAAATATATTGTAAATCGGGTTGGCGGGAGAGCGGTGGAAAATCGGGAGAGTTGGCAACTCTGATACAGTGTAGCAAAAGTTCATTTTATTTTGCAGCCACTTGTTTATTTTGACATCTCTACTCTTATAGTGCCATCTATAATTAGTATTATGAACCAACTGCTCCTAATATTTATGTTCAATGCTTTTAATGGTGATATTTACCAAAAGAACAATTGTAAAGTGCATGTTCATCTTGCTAGAGTTCTATTGATCACTTTGCTAAGTGAGGACAGAACCTGTTATCTTCTGCTCTGTAGCATTACAGTTTTACCAATCACTCCAAAAACAGCTGTCTTTGGAGCAAGCCATAAATACTATGTCTTTTGTCAGTGGCATCTGCAGCACCTTAATATGACAGTGGTGACATTTTGGTAGACAGCCCGTACAGTGTCACAAGCAAACCAATGGGTGTGGTTAAAGTGACCCGATCTGTTGGCACATGCTGTTAAGTTGCTTGGTCAGCCATGAGTGCAGTTTTCAGCTGCTGTGATACTACTGGTTAGCTGGGTATGGCTACATGAGCATTTGTTCGGTACTACTATAATGTAGTTTTTCCGTCTGCTTGCAAGAGGTGGTTAATTGCATCATAGCATCACCAATGCTGCAGATGATGTTTTGCATCATATCACAACTAGTTGATTTCCACCTCTTCAGTCTTGTGGCAGCACCTACAGTTGGTATTAGGAGCCCTGCTTCTGTTCTTTTCCATTGAATATTTTTAATGGTGATGTCTGCCAAAAAATGATGACGGTGAAGTATGTATTCATCTCACTAGCACTGTCGGTGAGGACAGAACCTGTGATCTGCTTTAACATGAGAGTTCTATTGATCATTTAAAAAAAAAGGGAGGAAATAAGTATCTCTGGAGTGAGCTGTAAATAATGTGTCTTTCGTAAGCAATGCTTCCAATGCTCCACAAGTGTACATTAACATTTTAATAGTCACAATTTAGTTTACATGATGTCATTACGTAAAATGACAAAATTATTCTAGAATATAAAGAAATAATCACACTAACATAACTTTCGGCCACATCTATAGAGTAAAGGTTAAGGATTAAATTATAAAAGCGACAAAGCCCAAAATATTAAGCATGTAAAAAGTTTACCGTAGTTACTGAAATAAAACTGACAAAATGCACTTTTTTTAACAGAAACATAAAAATTTTAAATTATTCTAGTTTGATATCAGATGAGAAGCACTTCAACACTGTACAGACTTAATTTTTGCTAAAATAAAAATGTCAAAACCTTAAGAGTCTAAATCGTCCAGTACAACCAAGCCTATCACATGGGAAATCATCTTCTTTGCTACTTCGGGCTGATTTATAACATGCAGGGCGAGGACAACTTTCATAATCACACTTGTAAATCTGAAAGAATGTTTTTTGTTTAGCCAGATACTTTAAAATAAATAATACAATTTGGTAAAAATACAAATGAAGACCCATGAGGGGGAAACCACTCATGTCCACTGACCAGAACTTTGAGAAAAATGTAACTAATATACTTTTATAAAATCATACAAAAAGTTCTTTCAGCCTTTATTTGATGAAATTTGTATCATGAACAATATATATATATATATATATATATATATACACAAAATAATAGAGAAATGAACTTTCAATATTTTAGGTGACTAAAATCGCCCCCTTCCTGTGTTTCTGCTGTTTATAATGAAAACACAAATCTTTGCTTCTTTCATAATTGGATCTTTCACAAATGAAATTATTTTCCCATTATTTTAATTTTAAGGAATCAGCTTTGCTCTTTGTCGCCCTTCTGCTAGTTTTTCTGATGTTCTGGCAAGCGTATCAATATCTGCATTTAGTGTTTCACGAAGATCACAAGTCTCCTTTCTTGAACAACTGAATATGATGTCAAACTTGGAACTAAAAATATCTCTGAATCCATCATAGAATATTAAATTGTTAATTTTGTACATTCACAATTTTGTGACATTTAACCCTACAAGCAGGTGCGTTTTCTTACTCTTTTATTAGGAATAATGAGACTTTCTCGCCTTGAGTGAGCTAATAAAACTGATTACCTTCCCTTGAGAGAGCTAATAAAATTAATTACTTTAAAAATAGTTTTTTCAGAAATTGAATTTTCCAGTTTGTATGCTTTCTGCTGTGGTCAACTTGTGCTTTTTTGTCATTAGCAAAACTTCTGTTATTTTTTAATGATGTGGAATGAAACAAAGGAATGCAAACTTGTGCATCATTGAGTTGTCTTGGAAACAACATACTCAGTAAGAGAAAAACACATTGTGTGATGATCCCTCATTTCACTAATGAGGACACTAGTGAATCACAGGCAAAAGCATTGCAAGACCAGTGGAAGTAATGATTTGGGTATTATAATTCCCAAGTTTATTAAACACTTTAAGAATTCATTGTTTTTCAGAATGACAACTCAAAGAAAAACATTGGTAAAGTTTGCACTTACAGTCAGATCCTAAACTCAGATGTGACTGCTCTTAAAACATCTCTGATTCATCCAGTTTTCAAGTCGGAGCCTTCATTGGAATTGTCACTTTCCATGCTCACAAGCACTACTGAAGAAATGATGGACAAAACCAACAGGTCTTCATTACAAGAGACACGGATGAACATGAGTAAAACTGATTAAGGAATTTGGACATAAATGCATCTTCCCTTTTGGCATGTGGAAAAAAATTGCTTTTCTCTACTATGCATTCCTTGGTTATTTCTCAGTTATAGTTACGGACATGAATATGTTTCTCCTGAAATGATCATTAATGTGGAAGCTATTCCTGTTGCCAACTAAATGGCATTATTACTTCAGGTTTTAAAAAATGGACATAAATGTTTTTCCCCTGGATCTTAAAATAATACTTACTTTAGCATTTGCATAACCCAATTTGATTGTGATGTTCCTTTCAAGTTCATTCTTAAACCTTACAGTCTATATTTGAAATAAAAACAGTCTATATTTGAAATTATAAAAGCATTAAAAATTATACACAAAACAGCAAAAAATTTTAGAAAGGTTTTAAAAAAAAAAAAAAAAGATTTTTTTAAATTTTAGAAATAGTTTGAAGAAAGATAATAAATGTGAATATTAAATAATATGTTGCATATTTTAATTAAAAGGTTCTAATAATTACAAATAGTTTGCTATCAATAAAATATTTGTTTTCAGAATAAAAAAGCATGCAATTCTTTTAATACTGTGGATCATTTGTCTGCACAATTCAGCACATTACAGCTGCAAAATATTAAATATTAATGCATAAATTCAGATACAATGTAAAAGCATTTTATTACCTGAAATTAAATTAATTAAAATGCATTACTTGAAGAACATATAACTTTCATAAAAATTCAACAACTACAAATTACCTGAAGATTATTTTAAAAATATGCCAAGCACAGACGAAACTTAAAAATTAAAGTTCATCAGTTCAATATAAAAAAAAAAGTTCATATGAAAAGAACCCAAAATTGTATTATACTGCTCATACAATCCTCTAGAAAAGCTAAGCAAACGATTTTTTTATACTTTTCATACATTTGTTCATGCTGTATGTCATTTTAATAGTAGTCATTGTACATTTTTTGCTGTCCAATATAAAACTTACAATCTACTTTTTTCAGCATCATCTGTCTCTTCAGGTATGGAAGACAGGCACATGCAATCCATCTACCATGTTAGCTGTTAGCTTTTGCTTCATACTTCGGTTTTGAATGAATTACAAAAAATAAAATTACTGTTGAAAGTGCAATTTTCTCATAAAAAGTTCCAAATACTGAAGGTTCAAATTTGTATACTTCATTCGAGGAGTAGTTCTAATGTATCAATTGTTAATTACTATCTGAGATTTAAAAAAAAAAAAATTAAAACCAAACAAATAAAAAAAATTCAAAGATTTGGTTGTCCCCACGACTTCATATATTAGGTTAAAATGATTTTTAGTGATCTTCTGGCAGAATATTTTACAAAATATTTATTTTTTTTGCTTTCCACCATTTGAAACTTTCTCAAAGCTTTAAAACTAGCTTTGCCTTGAGTTTAGTTAATGCTGTTTCAAAGAAATGTTTCAAAATTTTCCCTATGTGATATGGACACTCCAATTTTAACTAATATATACTGCTATCTATTTCATGAACAAACCTTAATCAATAACCATACATAACACTAATAAATATGCTGGCACTGCTGCAGAATATTGCATGCAAGCTGTAGTCAGCCAAATTAAGATATATTATTCTTATAATCTCCAACACACACAAAAAAAAAGTATTTGCTTCTGGAACAATAAACTAAAAGGCCATGTGGTTACGTTAGATTATTTGGGAAGACACATGAAGGCTACCTTCTTAAGGGTAGAGATGCCTTTTAGGAAGGCATTCTATGGGAGATTGGTTTGTATTCACATTAAACATGGCAAACACTACAAAAAAAAAAAAAAAAAAAAAAAAAAAAACACCCATGCAGCCAGCCATTCACCTGGGTATGACCACATAAAAGTCTCTTAAAGAGCTAGAGACATCTGAGCCTCCTTGATAGCAAATTTAATAATAGAATCTGTTTCCTAGAGGGCTTAAAAAAATTACTGTTTACCACATCAAGAGCATCACAGATGTGCCACAGTTACACAAGACTACTTCAGTCAACATAGAATAAAATCAACTATAAATGAAATATTTATTGTACCAAAAGATAAGACAATTTACAGCGAAGAGTATTACTTTATATATAATTGCATTAAAGAGAAATTTTTACCAAATATTTTCTAATTAGCTTTCATATAGGTAATTTATGTTTAATTAAAATAACAGCTACTATAACATTTACAGAATATTATAACATCCATAATTTAAGCACAACACTCCCATCTCTACTCCACATGGAAAGAGGAAACAATTCATAGTAATTTTATAACAAAAATATTTCTCCAAGCTTCAAAGTATTAAAGTAATCCCTCATTACCTATGGCTCTTTTAAGCCCTTAAAAATTATCCACAAAGTAAATATGAAATGAAATAAAGTTTAGCATTAAACATTTAGCAGATCCCCCCCCCAAAGTGGTAAAATTCTTACTAGCTTATTGTTTAATTTCATATTTTGATTGCCTGCATATACAGCATTTAAGAATTCAATTTCTGATATTCGATTATCCTTTGAATACAGCACAGCTAAGGTTGGCAGACATCCTAACTTTCCTATTCATGGGATTTTCTTTTGTATTTGTTAGTGGCAATCTTTATATATGAGTAGATTTTAAGTACGGCTCTTTGAAGTTTAGATGAGATAATGGAATACATGAATATGCCTGAGCTATTTCACAAAGACTATGAGAATACTAAAGAAAAATTCCAAAATCTTCCAACCATGTACTAGAGCATAAATAAATGTCCATAAGACCACCTGTTTTCTATGACAAGAATATTTCTAAAAATATCCCAAAAAAAAAGTCTTTACATGTTTTAGAAATTTAGACTATAAGCAGAAAGACAAATCAGTTACTTTGTTAATATCTAAAAATTTCCTTAAGGGTTGTATTATAGAAACAATCTAACTCATTCCTTTTCAAGAATACACTAGATTTTTTTCTTAATGTAGAGGAATACTTCCATGAAATGTTTCAGGCATATTCTATCAGTAGATTACAAAAATATTCTACGAATATCATTTGAAAATCATAAAATATTTCCTACTGACATGATTGGAATATTCCAATCATTAGCATAAATTTCCGAAATGCTGAAGGATGATATGAAATGAAAACAGAATATTTCTGGGACATTCTGAGCTGAATAAGGCAAAGGTATTTTTAAAAGCTGCAAATGTGGAAATTATTTCTTGTCATTAATAACACTAACATATTGCTAGCTTACAATTTTCTATTAAAATTAATTTGGGTGATAAAGAATGACTTATTTTCTCAATAATCTTGCTCACAATAGTAAGACAATCTTGCTCACAATAGTACGACAGATTTTCCTGTTTCTCAACCAGACTTAAAGGAAAAGTGCCAACCCTATATATAGGGATAAGTCAGATTTTGTGAGACAAGTGTAGGGTTTGCTCCATTTCATTTATTCTATAATAAATAATGCAACATTACACAGTAAATGATTGTTGACACAAATTATCAACTTCTAAAACTTGTGTCAGAACCCTAGATATAATATTATAGCAGGCATAGCATAAAATGCAGAAAAATGTTTTGATGCAGTAAACAAAACAAATATAAAAAAAAGGATTGTATGGAATGATCATCAAGGGTCAACACTGCAAGAGCTAGTTACAATCCCTGATAAAGAACTGGATGGAAATGATAAAATGGAATGGAAACTTAAGCCAACACCTTCCCAGAATGGTAAAAAATTATTTGTCAGTAAATATGTTATTGAAAACATATTTCTTTAGCAGGACAGTTAATCAGTCTCATTCTCAAGTTAGATTCAGTTATGAAAAAAGGGACTGCTGTTTAAAAAGATACAAAAGTACAAGACACTGCCTACACTTGAGTCTTGATGAGAGTGATGTTAACTTCTTTCCATAAAAATATGAGTAAATAAAAAATTATTAAATAAATTTGTTATTAATTTAAAATAATAAATAAAAAAATAAACATGTTATTAAACACTTAGAGTTTAGCTGCTTAAGAGGCAACTCTTCTGTGAAGCATTTTCTAAAAAAGGTTGCTTGTTCCTAAAGGTGACTTTTACGGAGCATGAACACATAAGCATACTTGCCAACGTATGACACTCAAAAATCAGGAGATTTTTTTAAGAAATTGGGAGATTTTTCCCAATGTTAAAAAGACTTTAAATGATGAAAATATAGTTTTTAATAATGAATTAATTTTAAATAGTAACTAATTCTTAAATGCAAGCAACACAAAAATACCTTACACATAAAAAACATTTTTATTACTTGCATCGTTTAAGAAAACGAAAAAAAAAAAAACTTTAATCAGTTTTCGTACAAATGTTATAAACAGTGGCAGATTTTTCTTTCTTTAAGAAAGAAACGTCATAATTTTGTTCATAGCAATTGCCATGTAGGCCTGCTTTCGCTAATAAAAGTTTTTCTAATGTGTCATCACGAATATTAGATCTAAATTTAGTCCTCGTTTTCGCAACAACACTGAAAATCCTCTCACACTCTGCATTACTATGGGGAACTGTCAATATGGCCAACATAATTCTAGACAGTTCACTATATTTCAAAATTCCATCAGCATCTTTCAGTTTTCTAATTAAACTCCACTGGGTGTCAATCTTAGCTGATTTTATAACTTCATTCAAGTTCTCTAATTGTAAACTGCTGTTATGCAGCTGTTGGAACTATTTTAATTTTTAATTCTTTTTAGAACTCCTTTCAAGATAATAATAAATATCAACAGTGTGTTCATCCACATTTATTGGTAAAGAAGCTGCCCTTTTTTCAGCTGCTAAATTTAAGGGGTGACAGATGCACCTCATAATCTGCAAATCTGAATTTTCCTAAGATGCCTGCAACACCAGTATTCAAGCCTACCAATACTGGTGTATTATCAGCACCAAGTGCTAAGCAATTATCCAGAGGGACTACATTTTCTTTTAAAGTTTTAATAATTAGCTGTGGTATACTAAAGCCTGTCAAATGTCCTTCTAAAGTGGGGACAGAAAGTAAACTGCACTCAATTTCTGAAGACTCTGGATTATAAAAAGAAAAAACAATTGGATACAGTTTTGAATTGGTATTATTGCTTCCATCCATAGAGAGGCAGAACAGAGCTGTTTTATTGCAATCAATAACTGATGATTTATTTTTCAAACCCATTTCTTTAACAATTGCACCTGTTTTGGTTCTTGCACTTGAATATTTCTTAGCGATCTCACTATCGGGAAACATTTTTCTAAATAAAGCTGCAGCGTGATCCAATGCATTTAGTGGCAGGTTGTACTCCA